TTTGGCAAACATTGCCGTATGGTAAACGTTGCGAAAGACAGTCTTTCGTAACGTTTGTCAATCGTTGCCGTAGATAGATACGACAACGTTTACCAAATGTTGCCATAGGCTGTCTTTCGCAACATTTGCCAAACGTTGTCATACCTCTACGGCAACGTTTAAAAAACGTTGTCAAAGACTTTCGGCAACGTTTAAAAAACGTTGCCGTATCTCTCTACTCTACGACAACACCTTGATTTGCAACACATGCCTAAACGTTGCCTACGGCAACGTTTTTTGAACGTTGCCGTATGCTGTTTTTGTTGTAGTGCTTGCATGTCAATATGTTGTTTTGATTGAAGTATAAGTTAGCTTTACCCTTTTAGCAGATCATTTTTTATATGCTGTTGCTACGAAATCTATTTTTGTATGGAGATGAATCCTGCACTACTGGTTTGGAGTCGAACTAAAAATTGTGGGTAAGGAAGAGCTAGATTTTTTCCATGTTCTATTGTATTTGTGTCGTTAAGATACGTGTTAGTATAGACTTGAATTGGTGCAAAAAGATTGTTTAAAATTATTGCAAAAAGAAGAGTAAGGTTGTAAGATCTAGATATTTTCGTCAACTTTGCCTAATTTGACGAGAATGCTTAGATTGTTCAAAATTTGCGAGAGAGAGAGTTTGCGATCACTTTTGAAGAGACAAGTGCATGTTTGTCAAAAAAAATCGAAAAATGCATTATGAAGAATTCAAAAAAGGTGGAAACAATTCATTTCCTATCTATTGGGAGAAATTTCCTCATTATAGAATATGTTGAAATTTCAAGTTAAGGGTGTGTTTGAGCCATATTATTTTAGAAGAATGTGTGGTTGAAAAAGAAGAAAAAATTATTGATGTGATAGAAAGTATTATTTTATTGAAAAATGTGTGGTTGAAAATGAGTAGAAGAATGAAAATGAAAATTTTAATGTGGCTCAAACAGGAGCTAATTAACAAAATTTCAATGATCATATATTCTAAAATTTATCATCAAAAGAGTCTCTCAAGAGACTGATCACAATTTTTTTCCCTTGTGACATCCCCTATTTTTCATTTTTCTTTTGGAAAATTTCATACCAGCTATTCAAAGCAATGTTCTAAAAAGCGTAAAGCGTGGCTAGGTGTGGAGGCCAAGTTTCAAGCTTTACGAGCCTAGGCGGGCCTAGGAGAAGTTTAGGCGTAAAAAAGCGTTTTTTTATTTTAAATTTTTAATCATTGTAAAAAAATTCAACAATTCAAATAATACATACCAAACATCTAAAATTACAAAATACTACATTTATTTAATAATTCCTTCATAAAGTAGCTTGAAATTTAGATGTTG